GGGTTCAGGGGAGAAAAAGCCCTTATCAATTAAGGAAGTTCATGGGAGGAGCTGTCATTTGAGAGTCTGGTAGGAAGACGACAAAAGAGCTTGGAAGGAGTTTTACAGGTTGAATTGTGTCACCCCCAAAATTCATCATGTTGACATGTGACACTCAGAACTTCAGAATGTGACCTTATTTGGAGATAGGGTCTTTACAGAGGTAATCAAATTTGAAATGATGTCATTAGGGTGGATCCTTAATCCAATATGACTAGTGTCCTTATAAGAATGGGGAATTTGGACACAAAGACACGTAGAGGGAAGCTGATGTGAAGAGACACAGGGAGAAGATGGCCATTCACATGTCAAGGAGAGAGGCCTGGAACCAACAGCCCTAAGAAGGAACCAACACGGCCAACACCCTGGTTTCAGATTTCTGGCCTCCAGAACTACGTGATAATATAATAAATTTCCACTGTTTAAGCCACACAGTTTGTACTAATTTGTCGGCAGCCTTAGAAAACTAACAAAGACATCCAAGAGAAGAAAGCTCATCACAGGGGTGGGCAAGTGGAATTAGTCCAATTAGCTTGGAACAGAGAATATAAAAAGAACAGAGAGGAATAGGGCAAAAAACTATTCACTCCCAATGATCAGAAACAGATATGTAGAAAAAATGTTAATACCGTATAGGCACAATTTTCATATTTGCTATCCATGTTATAATCAATCCACACATAGAACAAGTCTCCCAAATTACGTCCACAGAGGTGGAGAAAAAAATGCTTTTTCCAAGTTACTCAGATGATGAAAGGGAAGAATTTGAAAGATTTTGCTGCCCCAATTATGCTCTGTCTGAAGTTAATAATAACATATGAACATTTTGAGACCAAAAAAAAACCCAACAATCAAAAAGTTTTTTCAAGACCTTTGTGCAAAATACAGAATCACATTCGACTTTCTTGACAAAATGGGTTTGAGGAATTAATGAATTACCTGTAAGAGTCTCTGTTGCTGATGGTATCGTGACCTGAATCTTCCTGTTCATCTCCTGCTACGTTAAAACAGACTCGTTTGCTATTTCTCTCCCCCTTCTCATTGTCGCTGTCTGTTGGTATTATACACTCTGATGTCTTACGTTCTAATTTAGGAGAATATGTTATCGAAGACAGAAGGCTGCAATGTGTTATTAAAAAAAAAAAACATAAGTGCACATTTTCAAACCGTCTGCTATAGATAACTACCTTATTTGCTGAATATGATAAGCTTACAAATATTTCTAGAATGCTTCCATGTTTCGCATCAAATATTCTATTGCATAAAAAAAGCATGTCATAGAAAGTTCACTTTTTCTTCCCAGAAGAAGAAATAGTAACAGCACACACATTTAAACCAGAAAGCCGCATTCAAATCCTGGTTCTGTCACTTATCACTGTAGCTAAAACAAAGCTATGATAGTTGTCTTTGACATTTGCAAAGTGAGAATAATAAGAATAACTAGCCCACAGGACTGTTGTGGGAATGCATTGAGAGCGACACATTGCTGGTGCATAATGGGGTCACCTCTCTGTCCTCACACGGCCGCACCATCACCACCATGTGAAAACACTTGGTCATCTTTAAAGTGCTGACCAAACATTAAACACGAACACTAAATGTACTGTGATATTCCCAATGGCTCATCCTTAGATATTAAAGACCCATCTACCCCTCTACTCCTGCCTTAGGTTTCTCCCAGGCTTTCTCTGTTTGACAGGGAAAATATCTTCATGTCAATCCTTCTCACTCTTCATACAAACAGGAGTCCTGGCCTTAGAGATTATTAGACACTAACTAAAAGCAGAGTCACATGCAGGGTGAAGACAGGAGGAAGCAGCAGGGGCAACTCGAATATCATCCGCAATCCAGCCAGGAAGAAATGTCACAAATCTGCCCAAATGAGGAGCTCTCACGCTTGGCTCCAGGCTAAAATGTCACACTCAGACTGAACTGGTGTGAAACCTTATGAAGACTTTGAGTGGCTGCCGATCCCACCACTCTAGGCTGGACTGTTTGGCTATGGAATATTCCTGTTAGAAGTGTCTAACTCAAAATTAGGCAAAACTGGAATTGCTCTTAATTACCAAACAGCATGCTACAAAACTTGCAAACCGAATTAAACCATATCTAAACAAAGGGCCTGTGTGTGGCTTCTCAAGCCGACAATCACCTTTGCATTCACTGCATCCCTATGACATTCAGTTCCAATCGACAGCACATATCTTGACCCTCATTTTTCCAGAGCGATGTAATGTTTGTTTTGTTATTTCAAGACTATGAAAATATCTAATCTCCATTATAAATATCCCATAATATCAAGCCCAGTGCTGCGCATTGAGTAAATACCTGTTAAGTAATTTCACTGACTAATTAAACACATTTATTATATCATGCATTGTTCTTGGTGCTTTGGTTATTGCAGTTTATAAAACACACTAAAGCCCCTGCCTCCTTGGAGCTCAAATCCTACTGAGAGGAGACGAAAAATGAACAAGTAAACTTTATAGTATATCCAATGGCGGCAAATGCTAAGAAGAAAAATCAACAGGGGAAGGAAGCACGAACCTGCCATTTCAAATAGGATAGCCAGGTAAGGTGATGCTTTACTAATACTTTGGCATTCTATCCTTTTTAGACACAGGTAAAAATTAGAGGAGCTATGTTATATTGCTCAAGACCCTATGAACATTTTCAATAACTGAAATCAAGGAAGAATTTTAAACATCATTTTTCTAGTTGTAAAGATACTTCTATGTCCTGTAAAACAGATTGTGTATTTATTCACCCCCTCTATCCAAAAGATTAAAACATTAGACTAACTCCAATTATCCAAGCTCCATGCTGCACAGACAGATGAACTCCGAATACCAAAGAAGAAAGATGTGCAGGACTTCTTATTTTGCCAAAAGTCCTCTCTGCTTATGGATCTTTTAAATTAGGAATCATGGGGCTAAGTATAAACATTTTTTTTCAAAGTTATAGGAATTGTATTCACATGCTTGCTTTTCATTTAAAACAGCTGCATCATGCCTGCACTGACTCTGCGGGCACAAACGTTAGGCTTACAAATGAGTGATAGAGAAAACATGTTTTTGACACCATGTTTTTACATAAAATTTCTAGATTTTGAAAAGCAACAATAAGGCATCAAACTATAATATTTTATTTGTGCGGGCAGAAATATTTTACTTTTGCTCATCTACAATATTAAGCTACCTACTAAAGGTCCATTAATTAAACCCCCAGCAGTATGCCACTCCAGATGAACGTCCTCCTAATACCATGATTAATAAAGATTTTTCTACATAGTATATTGCAACTACCTGTGTGTTTTTAATATCATCATCCTCATCATCATCATGGCTAACATTTGTTGAGCTTTTATGCCAGTCACTGTGCTAAGTACTTATTAATAACAGGTATAAATTCACTTAATCCCTAAAACCACCATATGAAGTAGGTATCATTATTATGCCCAATTTAGATGTG